CCACACTGCCCCATGGACGATTCCCAGTGACCACACTGTCCCATGGACAATTCCCAGTGACCACACTGTCCCATGGACGATTCCCAGTGTCCACTCAGATGACTTCAAAGGAAGGAGTCAGAATCTTTGCACCAGGCTGCTGGAGCATGAACAGTCTGTCCCTGGGACCCTCTGCACTTCCCTCAGTTAGAGCATGTCAGCAAATAAAGCACATCCCATCTGCCAGGCAGGGCTGGAGAGGACAGCAAGACATAATTCCATTCACATCAGCCTCTCCCAAGTGTTCCCAGCAGATACTGCCCTACCTCGCTTTCAGAGTCTCCCCTGACAAATATTCCATAAATCCCTTATGGTGCCTTTTTTTTTCCTCCATTTTTCACTTCCATTAAGGTCCAGATTCTCAGTAAGATCCAGGTGGGAAGGAAGCTCTGGAGGTTTCCATCCACGTCCATTCACAGCAGGTCACTGGAGTCCTTCTCGCTGAGCTCTGAACATCTCCAGAGAGGGAGCTCCCAGTTCTCCTCTGGCCAGCCTCTTGGACAACAGTATTTGACCATTATCATGGAGACAAAAGATTTTCTTAACATCCAGCTGGGATTCCCTTTCTTGCAGCCTCTGGTGCCTGCTGTCCCTTCCCTGAGGGCTCTGGGCTGGGGTGACCTCGGCTGTGTGAGGGGTTGCCCTGATGACAGGGCCATGTCTGGCTCTTCAGGGAGGCTTCAGGCAGCACCAAGACCCTCCTTTGCCTTCTCCTCTCCATCTCCAAAGCTGACTCAGCCTCACCCCTGTGTGTTGTGACCAGGATCAGCCCTGGGCTCTGCTCAACCTCGCTGGAGTTCCTCCAGCCTGGCAAGGTCTCTCCAGTCACTGCCAGGCAGCTCCAGGGACATCCCAAGTTATGTGTTACCTGTTTTCCAAAGAAGCTTGGAATGGTTTGGGTGGGAAGGGACCTTAAAGCTCATCCAGTCCCACCTCTGCCATGGGCAGGGACACCTCCCACCAGCCCAGGTTGCTCCAAGCCCCGTCCAGCCTGGCCTTGGACACTTCCAGGAATCCAGGGGCAGCCACAGCTTCTCTGGGCAACCTGTGCCAGGGCCTGCCCACCTTCCCAGCCAGGAATTCCTTCCCAATATCCTGTACTCAACGAGCATCTTTCTCCTACTGGATTTCCAAGATGTTTATTCTATTGGGGTTTTCATCTGATGTTCCCCATTTTAAGTCCTTGTGGAAAGAAAAAAATTGCTCTTTTTTTTGTTTGTTTGTTTTGGATTTCCCAGCCTCTCCTTCACTCCTGTCTCTCTCTCTGTGTTAATGTTGCAAGAAGAATATTGAAAAAAAACCCATGATTTTGGCTCAAACATCTCAAAGGTCTCAGCTGCTTCATCTCCCAGACGTGTCCCTGTGGACGTGGCACCTTGTCCCCACGGACATGGACACGTCCCACTGTCCCAGGGCTCAGGGGGATGTTCCCCCACCGAGCTGCAGTGGCCAACTTGGACAAGGAAGGAGGGTTTCCATTGGTGAGGAATAACGAGAAGCTGCCACGAAGCAAAGCCCTTTCAACCTGGGTTCCTTCAGAACATAAAAAAAAAAAATCCATCCATTTCAGCTGATTGGCATTTCTGGACTGGGAACAAACAGTGGAGCCAGTAAATAACTTCAGATTCCTCGTGGCCGAGCTCTGGTTGCAATGGAAACACACTGTTGTTGCTCTTTCATCCTCTCCCTGTCCCACGTCATCCCTGGCACTGCTCTGACACCTGCCCTTCCAGGGGACTCACGGGGGTGAAAAGAGAGCAGGAATTTGTCACAGGACTCTGAAAAGCCTCAGCAAACTCAAAATGCTGCTCTGTACACCCAAATAATTGCTGCAGGTTTTGACCCCTCCCAGAACTGAGACGGACAGGGGAGCAGGCCGAGGTGATTCACAGGGTTTTAAACCACCAGGTTCTTTCAGAGCCGGTCGGTGACTCCTTGGTTTTCGTAACACTTTGTTTCCACCAGAAAAAGTCAAGTCATGAGTAAGAACTGTTCCACCACCTCCCAGCGTGACAGTGATTCAGCACTTACTGTCTCATTAAACAACTTGAATTTTACATGGCTACATGGAAATTTCCTCCTTTTTCCATCCAAACCTGAAACTGGGCACTTTATCAGTTTAATATTTTAACATGACCACGGTCCTGCTGAACAGAATGGCTTGGGATGTGCAACCCCACCCTTTGACAGAGGTGCTGGGAACTGCCACTTAAAAATGTTCAAAAAGCACAATTCTGCTTTTATTAAAGTTTTACAGAAATGTCTGCTCACATCCCTCTGCCAAAGGTGGGTTATGAGCTGAACACACACCGGAGGAAGTTCAGGAATGTGGGAGATGGTTCCTGCAAACTCTGCTCTTCTTCCCTGGGGATAAATAACCTCCCCCTCCAGGTAGCCTGAAAATATTCCACAGAATTTCAGTCAATTCTTATTGTTGTCCTGTAGCAATTTTTCTGTCAGATCAGGATTTATTTCTACCCATTTACAACGTGTTGGGTGTTTCCCTTTCCTACGAGAAGAAACCAGGGACACAGAAACCCCCTTCCTTTGTCTCCCAGGCCCCTTCCCTCTGGAATAAACACATCCCACTAACGTTGATTTGTTTTCCTCAGCTCTCTAGGCATTTATCTCCTCTCTGGGCTAAGCAGAACTAATCTGCTTATTCCCCCAGCTCCCCTGACCTCGTTGGTTTGGGATCATCCGCGCTCCTGTCCCCCATTCCTGTTCCCCTGCTCCCGGATCCCTGCTGGAACAGGGAACTGTGCTGCTGGACAAACCAACCCCGACAGTTTGGTGCAGGGGTGGGAACCCAGCTCCCCATCCTGCCCATCCCATCCCACCCCAGAGCCCCCCTGTCCCCGGGTCACTTACGGCGCTGGCGGCCTCGGCGGCGAGTCGCGCGGCGTACCTGGCGATCAGCCGGTGCTCCTCGTCCAGCCGGCCCGGGCTCTCCAGGACACTGCCAAGGACCAACAGAGCTGTCAGTGCCTCGCTGGGGCAGGGAGGGGAGGGCACAGTGTCAGTGCAGAGAGCCAGGACAGCAAAGGGAGAGAGTCCCACTGGAGACGATCCGTGATCCCCTTTTCCGTCCTGCTCCCGTGGCAGGGAAATGCTCCCCGGGCTTCCTGGTGAGCAGAGTCTGCTCCAGGACCCACAGAGTCCAGTCTGGGATGTGTTAAAGGACTTGGTCTGGGCACAGGTTTGATTTGTTTCTGGGGAGCTTGTCTGCAGACCCTTTTGGTCACTCAAGGTCGACAGGGCCAGTAGCCCAGCGACGGAGGAGGGAAGCCTTCTCCTCCAGGGATGGAGGAGGAAAGCCTTCTCCTCCAGGGATGGAGGAGGGAAGCCTTCTCCTCCAGGGATGGAGGATCATCCATGTCCAAGCCAGGATGATTTCCATGAGGAACAGTGGGGAGGACTGTGCTGACCTGAGAAGGACCTTCTGGCACTGAACAGCATCGACCTAAATGCAAACAGCTCTTTGCAAGTCAGCCTGACTTACACCTGACTTACACCTGGCTTACACCTGACTTACACCTGGCTTACACCTGGCTTACACACACCTTACAACACCCCTTTACAAAGGGGGGCAGTTTAAGATCTGGTCCTTCACAGCTCAGCTCCAGAGGCTCCTATTGCCAGGCTGGACAGGGCTTGGAGCACCTGGGCTGGTGGGAGGTGTCCCTGCCCATGGCAGGGGGTGGCACTGGATGGGCTTGAAGGTCCCTTCCCACCCAAACCAGCCCAGGATTCCCTGGATGCCTCACCCAGGCTGCAGCTGCCTGGGAAATGCTGCTGAAATAGGTGTTAAGAGCCATTTCCAGTAGTCACCAGCAGTGACAGCACCCTGAGGTGACAGAGAAAGGGACAGGGAGGTTTGAGACAGGGAAAGCAGAGACAGCTGAGGAGACAGATCCGGGGTGGGAAGGAAAGGCAGCACCTGGATCTGTCCCATGTTCCACACGAGCTCTGTGTCCCTGGGCATGTTCTCCATTAACAGATTAACCCAGGCTGGGAACAGGCAGTGCCCCCAGTGCTGAGGCAGCTCCTGCTACTCCCAAACAATTCTCTTTGTTAACTCTAAACACACTGGGGAACAAAGGCTGATTTTTGGGTTGTATTAACTGAAAGCAGCCAATGCTGGGATCTGTTCCCAGCTGGATTTGGTGCCACAAGGAACCAGGAGGGGAATCACAAATGGAAGGGCAGCTTTTTAAATCAACATCCAACCACTGGATTTGGGAGTTGTTGGTCATCCCAGTGCTGTGCAGAGATCCCTCATCCCACTGCAAAGGGAACCCCTGGATCAGTGACAGGAACCAAGCTGTTATTAACTGCAACAACCAGGATTGGTGTGGGAATGAGGAATGTGCTTCCAGTGGCCACACAGCCCTCCCAGTGCCAGCCCTGAGGTTCCAGGTGGGATCCATGGACAGCCCAGGGTGGTTCCTGAGGGTGCTCCAGGGAAATCTGGGGTCACCATCCCCACAGAGAGCAGGAGGATAAACCAGACACAGACCTGGTGCACCACAAAAGCCACTCCCGGCCCACATCCCCACCCCAGAAGACAATTCACATTTCTTTAAGCTTAATTTCAAGGATTTGTGTCTCCTTGAACCAGATTTACGCTGTGATGGTTATTTAAGGATGCAGATTTCTTTTCACTAACACCCAGTTTAAGAGCCTGAGGTCTTTGAAGACTCTGAAGTTCGCCAGGAGATGTTTTTGGTTCACCAGGTGACGTTTTTGGTTTGCCAGGTGATGTTTTTGGTTCACCAGGTGCTGTGTTTGGTTTGCCAGGTGATGTTTTTCATTCACCAGGTGATGTTTTTGGTTCACCAGGTGATGTGTTTGGTTCACCAGGTGATGTTTTTCATTCACCAGGTGATGTTTTTGGTTCACCAGGTGATGTTTTTTGTTTGCCAGGAGATGTTTTTCGTTCACCAGGTGATGTGTTTGGTTCACCAGGTGATGTTTTTGGTTTGCCAGGTGCTGTGTTTGGGCTGGCACAGGGCCCTGGGCTGGGTTTAACAGCCACAGGTCCAGTGAACAGAGCTGGGTCTGTGAGGAGCAAAACCTGGATCCAGGCCTGGAGACATCCAACTGCCCAGAGCAAAGGAAGGAGCTGGAAAAAGGGGAGTTAAACCAGGGGGAAAACAGATTTAAGAGGAGAAGAACCAGAGCCTTTACAGGAGGCTTGAGGAGCTTCACAGGCACCTTCACCACTAATTTACTGTCCCATATATTTTTTGTTAAAGGAGATCAATCCTCCCCATCCCACCTTCTGACACAGCTGCTTTTCTTCAGCTTTCCTTGGCAATTTTGTCTGTGCAAGTTTTCTCCTGCTTTTATAAGAGACCCTCCCACCCTTTCCACAATCTGGTATCTCCTAATACCTCTCCCAACTCCTGGAACCACAACCTCTTGTCTAAGTGAATTACAGAAGAGTTATTGATGATTTCTTGCTTTTGTGAAAAAAA